CCAACCTCATGCTGTGTCCAGCCCGGACACAGCCCTGCTTTCACTCCCCGGGGCAGCCTGGGCCAGCACATGGTGCTCTGTGGTTAAAGTCCAATCCTGCTTAATTTCCCCTAACGGGGGCTCAGGCAGGGGCCCAGCGCTCGACTCCTCATTCCCTGCCCACTTGCTTCCCCCAGATTAGGCACTGGCTTGGCTCCTCCAGACAGGGTTTGTCTTGGCTGGGGTTTTTCTTCCCAGCCCGGAGCAGGGAAGATGAGCCAGTGGAGCCCAGCCAGCGAGGTGCTGGGCAATAGGGAGCTTTGACTGCAGCCTTTTCCCTGCCCCTTCTTGCTGCGCTGGTTTTGTGAGCTGTCCCGAGCCGGCTGCATTAACATTGGCACTTTGGAAGGGCTGGCACTGGCCCAGGGACAACTGGTGACAATCAACCCATCTTAAACCAACTGAGCCTGGAAAAGGACCAGGGGAGCAAAGGGATGCTGGAACTGGCTCCAGGTGGGAGCAGGCAGACGGCTGCTGTAATTAGGTTTAAGCTGGAGCTGGATCAGTCTTTGCAGGGGATTATGACCCCCTCCGTCTGCATAGGCGCTGCGGGGGGCCCGGTGACTGCCTATTTAGCGTCCTGGCACCGTCAGGGCATTATGGGTGAGCCCTTGGGTAAGGGGCAGTGCCAGCCAGTGCTGATCCCCCTCCAGCCCTATGGGTTGGTGTGAGAGGGCTGGATGCAGTGTGGAGGCCCGCTTTGTTTTCACAAGGACACTAGGAGCTGGAGTGAGGATGAAAAATAGCCAGAAATATGATTAGAGGATTGGAGAAAATGCCTTGGAGTACAAGCTTTAAGAGCTCAATCTGTTTAGCCTATAAAAATAGAAGACTGAGGGGTGACTTAATTACCAAGCATAATTACTTCACAGACAGAAAATACCAGGTAGTGGAAGTCTCCCTTTAATTGAGCAGGGAAAGGGTGCCGGAGAGCCAGGGGCAGGAGAAATCAAAGCCAAAGGCAAACTATAAAGCACCATGTCCCAGCAGTGAAGCTCCCCAGGGGTGCGGGCGACCCCCCTGGGGCTGGTGCATCTCTGTTGGGTGACGGTCTGTGCCCCTGCAGCCCCCATGGATGTGGCTGTTCCCCCACTGCCTTCCTTCTCACCCTGGTAGTGAGGGGCTGAAGTAGGTTTTCTGCCGGCTGGATGCTGAAGTGATGGGCATCTGCCGTTGAGCCTCCATCCCCTTTTTCTCCCTCTCTCAACAGCTGGGACAGGTGCCAGGGCACGGTTTTGCCGGTGAGCCATGGGGCAGGAGCGGAGAGTTTGATGCCTCTCTCAGGAGTCCCCAGAGCCATGACTGCAACTGTGCAGACGCTGCGGTTCAAGCTGCTGCCGCAC